TTGGGGGTTGGGCATTGTTACTGACTTGTTTTTAGGTGGACTGTACAAGGCAGCTGGAGCCTGGCACCAGGAGAAAGAAAGACCTCTAAAATACTCAGATTTGAATAAGGATGTTATTGCAGAGGATGTTCTTAGCGATGAAATGTCAGACTTCTGAGAAACAGACACAGTTACTATCTGGATATGGGCAGATACAAGGAGTTTGGGTTGGGCATTGTTACTGACTTGTTTTTAGGTGGACTGTACAAGGCAGCTGGAGCCTGGCACCAGGAGAAAGAAAGACCTCTAAAATACTCAGATTTGAATAAGGATGTTATTGCAGAGGATGTTCTTAGCGATGAAATGTCAGACTTCTGAGAAACAGACACAGTTACTATCTGGATATGGGCAGATACAAGGAGTTTCCAGGGTAAATGGGAGAATAGGTATAATGTCTTTGGAAATTGGAAGAAGAGGAAATGGAACAGTGATATAAACCGGAAATATCAGTGGAGTATCTATGAGGAGCTATGAAGCAAGACAGCTGCTTAGGTATATAGGTGCAGTTCTGCAAGTAGTCCAGGTGGGGTTAAAATTTAGGAACGGTGCATAAAATGTGCAAGGTAATTGAAGATTTGTGAATTTAGAAATGTGAATCCTTCTCAAGTCCTCCACACCAAATAGAGGTTCAGGATCATTAAAAAGAAACATATATAAATATATATATATATATCTCTTGTGAAAGAGCACTTTAACAACAGAAATCCTGTGGGAAAACATGGAGAAGGAGTATGGATTTCCAGAATATTTTTCTACCTATCTGCCTGTTCTTACCTGTGTCAACCTGTCATTTTCTAGACTCTTGGCACTCTGGAAAATCCTATTCCCTGTCAGTGCATACTATTGATGCTCCATTTGCATCAAACCTTTCTGTCACTGTCTTCTCTGGATTTGGCAAAATGTGGTCATTTTCTTGTTCCTCTTCAGCCATACATCTGTGCCTTCCCCGTTCCTCTGTGCCAGATCATGCACTTTGTCTTGGAACTTCCTTCTCTCCTGTGTGTGTGTGTCGAAGCTTTACAAGACTACTTCTTTCTCATGTTGTATAAAGTTTGTATTGACAGCATTAACTTGACAACTGTAGCCTTTTCATCATTGTATTATGAACAGATATTGAAGACTAGAGTCCCAAAGTAATTTTTGGCAATATCTTTTCTGCAATCCATGCACCAGACTTAATGTCCAGGTTTTCCACATGATGCAGGGAGGGAAGAGTCCTGAGAAATGACACATCCATAAGCCAGTACAGTGATTGGGAAACCTCAGGTATCCTGTAAAAGTGACAATAGGTAAGCAGGATTGTACCTGTCACAAACTTGAGCACCTGGGTTAGGAATGAAGCATGGTGCCTCCCTCCACTCAGCTCTTGCAGCAAGGTGGAGCTGCAACATGTTTGATGAGGGTGAAGGCAGCTAAAGAGGAGGGTAAGGCAGCAGATGTGTGTGTGTCTGTATGTTCAGGTGTGTCTGCAGGAGGATTTACCAGATGCTGTGTGATGGTAGAATGCAGATAGGCAGAGATGTGCCCAGCAGGTAGTTTGCAGCATGAGCTGTATTTGTGACTGCCATTTACAAATCTGAACTAAGGCAACTATGAAAGACATTCATATTGCAAGAGGTTTGCAGCTGAGTTTTAGCAATCTAGCTAGGTTCTATCCAGGAAGGGCATCATATCATGCTTTTCTTAAAGTGAGTTCTCAGTTATCTAATCCAGAAGCACATATGTATTGCCTCTCAGGCTTGGCCCTGCAACTTCCTACCTTCCTGCACTTACAGTTGATTTTAGCATGTTTGTACAGCCAAGAGTTTTTGAAAGGAAGTTTCAGATTCAACTATTTAGTGTATTTTCTAACATGTAAATTGATTTTAAATTCTAGTATAACCTGGTGCAACTGCACTAAACGTGTAGATTCTCTACTAAATGTGTGACTGTCACCTTTCCTGTGTCTTCCTCAGGTCTTGTACTTACTGGATGTGTACTTTTCTTTTCTCTATGTTTATAACAGCAAAAGAGGAAACTGAGACTCTACATCTCCAACACATTTAACCCTGCAAAATCGGACGCTGATGACTCCGACGGCAGCATTGCGTCATGGGAGCTGCGCGTGGAGGGGAAGCTCCTGGATGATGTATGGCTTAGCTGTGCTTCACTGGGGCTGGCAAGGGTCAAGAGATTGTCCTGTGGGGTGGTGGGCTTCACTGGGCACATCAGCTGAGACAAGACATCCTGAGTGGCATTGTGGGCTTGTTGCTGCTGGGAAGGTACCATGTCCAGCTGGAGTGAGGGATAGGGCTATAACGGGAATGTTGGGGAGGGCAGCAGGAAATTAAACAGACTTAAGGACAGGACAGGTAGGAGGAGGTGGAGAGATGAGGGCTGAGATGATTCCCTTAAAAGAGATGGCAGGGTTCAGGTCACTAGAGGTGTGATAAGTCCAGCCTACAGCAATCATTGCATCTTGGGAAGAGCAGGATAGCAAGGAGAAGGCAGCAGTAGTTCATATTCCTAGGGAGGACAATATGATGTATGGATGCTCAGAGCAAGGATAGAAGAAACATTTTATCCTTATGAAGTCCTCAGACACCTCAGTGATGGATTTAGCTTTACTCAGGGAAGGCTGGACTTTCCTAATAAAGGTGTCACCTATTTGAATAGACTTTACAAGCTGAGTATTTATAGGCTGAGCAGATGGAGAACGTCTGTGCATGGAGAGGGCAAGGTTTTCAGTCTGTCTGGAGATAACTGTACGTGAATTGGAATCATAATCTTGCTGGAGGATGAAGTGGTGACAAAGTACAGCATCTGGGAATTTAAGTTAGGCAAATCCAGTGTAGAAATTAGAGCGTATATATTAACAAAGAAAAAGATTCTTTATTGGAACAAAATAGCTTTTAAAAATTAAAAATTACTGACATTTTAAAATAAAATATTATCTGCATTAAACAAGAAAAGATAAATTGGAATCCCATGGACTGTATTTCATGGAAAGTCAGATTATGTGATTATAGACCTCCCAGTTTTTAATGCAGACAGTATGAGCTGTGTAGTAAACAGTGAATATTGCTAATTAAATGGAAAGACAAAATGTGAAAGGAAGTAGTTTTACTTAGTGTATGATCAATCTGTAAAATTTACTGTCGTCTGATGAATCAGACCAGGAAATTAGCATTCATCAAAAAAACCCCAAGATGTTAAAATAAAAGGTATACAGTGGCCTTAGGATCCTGCAATGGTTTGGGTTGGAAGGGACCTGCAAAATCATCTAGTTCCATCCCACCCCCTGCCATGGGCCAAGACACCTTCCACTAGACCAGGTTGCTCCAAGCCCCATCCAACTTGGCCTCGAAACATTTCAGGGATGGAGCAGTCATAGCTTCTGTGGGCAACCTCTGCCAGTGTCTTACCACCCACTGAGTAAAAAACATCTTCCTTATGAGCAGTGTAAACCTGTCCCCTTTCATTTTAAAACCACTGCCCCCTGTCCTGTCACTATAGGCCCTGGTAGAAAGTCTCTGTCCCTCTTTTCTTACAAGCCCTCTTTAAATACTGTAAGGCTGCAAGAACGTCTCCTTGGAGCCTTCTGTTCTCTGAACAACCCCAAGTCTCCCAGCCTGTCTTCACAGGAGAGGTGCTCCATCCCCCTGGTAGTTTTCATGGCCTCTCTCTAGACCTGTTCTCATGGATGCTGTATTCACATTACAAGCCAGTCCTTTCCAGTAACCTTAAGAGACTCAGAGAAATCTTCCTGAAATGTGCACTGTTCCACCACTGTCAGGGTTTTTGCATCTTACCCTGCATTTGTCAGAGGGAAAACTCAATTAGATTGATCACACTTGTGGTCTGCATGGCATTTAATATTCAAGACAAAGAGGGAGCCTAAGAAGGAAGCCTGGGACACAAGCTAATATATTCAGCCGTAAACATGTCTGGTTCTTCTGCTTGTACAGCTCAGCAAACAGAAACGGAAGTTTTCATCTTTTTTTAAGAGTTTGGTTATTGAACTGGACAAAGATCTTTATGGACCTGACAACCATCTTGTGGAGGTGAGAAGGTCGTGCACCCTTTGCATACAAACCTGGGAGTGGCACAGATAAGCACCCAGGTGCCTGTTGCCTCCCTTGTTTGAGTTATAGCTTGCATTTGTTATTGAAGGTATTTTTAAAGCTTTCAAAATTCCATTCTTTTTAAGAATGTTTGCTAACAGAATCTAGTCTGAAAACATAGATGTAGTAGTGATGTAGTGCACATCTGAGAACAGAATGTATGAAATGATGAAAGAATTGTGTGCATTTCTCCTATCAAATCATTCTAACAGCAGAACAGATTCTGCACTAGAGCTGAATTGAAATGATTTGAGGGGGAGTTGTTGTGGTTTGGATTTGGTGGTGGTGGTTTTCTTTGTTTAAATTGCCAGATCTTCAGAAGGCTTGTACTTATTCTGGCATGGTGTACCATGCAAGATGCACCTTCATGGACATCAGTGAAAAAAAAGACTGACTATCTCATTTTTCCCTTTGTCAGTGGCACAGAACTCCCACAACGCAGGAGACAGATGGCTTCCAGGTGAAGAGACCTGGGGACGTCAGTGTGCGATGCACATTGCTCCTCATGTTGGACTACCAGGTCAGTGCACTGCTCATGGTGTGGAAAATACATCCACTGGGACATGGTGCAGCAGAGCAAATTCATCCAGTCACATACATTAAAACAACCAATGTACTTGGACTCGGAGTGTCACATGGTCCATTGACGTTAGGATAATACCAAACTGACAGGTTATGTAACATTTAAAGGGGACAGACACGTCAGGTGAGTTTCTAATGAAGTTGTGTCAGGGAAGGTTTAGGAAAATACATCCACTGGGACATGGTGCAGCAGAGCAAATTCATCCAGTCACATACATTAAAACAACCAATGTACTTGGACTCGGAGTGTCACATGGTCCATTGACGTTAGGATAATACCAAACTGACAGGTTATGTAACATTTAAAGGGGACAGACACGTCAGGTGAGTTTCTAATGAAGTTGTGTCAGGGAAGGTTTAGGTTAGATATTAGAAAAATGTTCTGTTCCCAGAGAGTGGTTGGGCAGTGGAACGGCTCCCCAGGGAGGTCACAGCACCAAGCCTGGCAGAGTTCAAGAGGCATTAGGGCATATATATAGAGAGAGCTCAGGCACAGGGTGGGATTGTTGGGATGTCCTGGGCAGGGTCTAGAGTTGGACTGTTGATCCTTGTGGGTCCTTTCCAACTCTGAATATTCTGTGATTCTTTAATATAGTCTAGCAAAATATTGTTTTTATTAATTAGTATTTTTATTGCCCACCTGCAGAAATATGCATTTCCTCCTCTGTCTTCTTAGAGAATAGTCAGATAAGTTGCACACGAGTTATACATGTGGTTCTTTAAAAACATTCAAAGGAGTGGCTCTTGCCAGTGGTACCTGAACTAGCTGGGCAGCTGTGGCAGCCTTGCCTTGGCACAAACAGCAGAGGCTGCAGTCGTGGAGCTCACTAATCTGACTGAAACCATCCCTGGAAGAAATGTTACTGTCTTAAGGAAGCTGTTAGGAATGCACTGCTGAGAGGTGATGGGATCTGCCTTTGCAGTGACAGTTCAGGCTTAGATAGATTTTGATGGTATAACTTCAAGAACTTGTTCTCTGCCATCCTCTTTC